TGTAACTCTATATACAGTTCCTGGCCCCACTATGCCAATTACCATGGGAACGTTTTAAATTCCTCTTTTTCACTCAACCTCTGCACCAGTACCTGAAATATGTGGTTTTCACATCCCACTCACACAGTGGAACTGTAAATAACCACAGAGATCATCTAGTTCTCCAACCTGACAGTGCACGAGGGTGTGATTAGAATGCACACCATGAATTGGCTTTGGAGTCAGCCACACATGCAGCCTCTTGTGCCTCCCAACCCAGAGATGGAGACTTTATGCAAGCACCTCAGGTAAATCTAGGGCAGCTGATCTACAGACAACATTTGGAACCTTTTGAAGGAAAGTTTCTCATTTTACAGATGAGGAAATGAGCTGAGGTAGCATGTCAGAATCACTTGGGAAATGTTTCAGAATATGATAGATAGGTCAAGATAGGCCAGGTTGTGCTTTCATAAGTCTCCACTAATCTCAGCAGTTCAAAAGAGTAAACACATGATTTGAACATAATATTTGTCTTTCATAAGTCAAGGCTGCTCTGCAATCCAATGCTTTTTATGATCCCAAATGCAGGAATAAGGGAGTTGGGCAAGCTGAGCAGATTCTAAAGTTCTCATGTAAATACTGTTAAAGAGCAATGTCACAACGGGCTTGAGAGACACAGATTTTTGCTTGTATCCTCTTTTCCCTTTATGGACTCCTGTGACTTTGTGCAAATTTCTTAATCTTTCTGATTTTGTTAATTTGGCTGACAAATAGAGGTAATACTGCAGTTTCTAAAATTATTGAGGCTTATAGGAGTATTCATGTTTATTATTGTTAAGAAGCAAAGTATAAAAAAAACTATCACTGATGGGAAAACAAGCCTTGTTTAAAAAAGATCCTCCTGTTACAGCTTTCTTTCTTTCTTTTTTGGTACCAGGAACTGAACTCAGGACCTTGTGCTTGCCAGGCATTTGTACCACTGAGCTATATTCCCAGCCCCGTCTCATTTTATTAAAGCTCTTCCTTTGTATCATCTTCTTTCTCCTGCATCTATTCCTTCTTTCAAGAGCTAATGTAAGTCTCACATCCTTCTGCCATGTGAGTTCTTTCATCCATCCATTCAGAACAGTTAATATATGTTTTTATATGTGAGTAATTAAGGAATTTCCTCCTCAAAGGAGAAAAGAATTGGTGTGATTATTTCATTCAAATAACTAGCAACTGTGCTATTTTCTTAATGATCATTTAGTACTAATTGGAGAACTAAGAGTACTTTTATATTTAGATGACAGTTTGAAGGAATTTATCCAATCCTTCAGTGTAAATCAATAAGAAAACAGAATTTATTTAGCAGAGTCTAATTTATACCAAGTATTAGGTGTATTCTTATCTGCACAGAAGCTATAAAGACAGACATTCAGTTGCTATTAAGATCACTGGCTCTAGACTCTGAAAGATACTGGTTGGAAATATCTGTCCAGACAGATTTTGGCTAGCTCTTTTGTATTTGCGTATATTTCTAGTTTACAAAGTTTGAGTAATAATAAAAATGATGGACTTATAAGAATTAAATTTGAGCTTCTATTTGACTTATGCATATTAAATTTCCAGGATGATGCTGTTATAAAATATTCTCCTGAAAAACACAGTCCCAAGGTTCTTCCAACTAGCAGATATTAAGGTACTAACTCAACATCATAATTCATAGTGAGTGTTCAGACACAGGTGTCATGCTAAGTGGCAGCAAATCCTGAAAACCTTACACAGCCACTTATATACATGTGACTCTGGAACACTAAACAAATCACACACTTCTCATTAGTCCAGTGGTAGACCCAAGAGCACCATCCCCAGTGGTTAGAATTGCTGAAATGTCTTGGCTTGAGCACAATCAATAGCTTCAGTTTGGCTGGGGAGACAGGTAAAACTGACCTCTTCTGCTATGTGACCTGTCTAAGAAGCATGATAATGAAGAGGTCCAACTTGTGGTAAATTATTAACAAGCCACAATAATGCAAAGTACAAACAAGGAACACAATAAAGGATTACTTGGAGGAAACAGGGAAATAGAGATTTTGTGAATGAGAAGGGATCCAAGAGATCTAGGGCAAGAGGTGTTAGCAAGGTGAAGGAGAATTAAAAAGATTTAAGATGTGTCATGCATGTGTATCAAATACCCACAGTGAATGTAAACTTTACATGTCATAAACCTGAAATAAAATAATAATAATAACAACAGTAATAATGAAAATGGGGAAAGGGGATAGAGAGATAGGGGTAGGAGGAGGGAGGGAAGGAGAATAAAGGAATCCAGTTGTACTATGCACGGGTACCTATTCCCTAAGATGAATGTAAACTTCATGTACTGCAAACATGTACAAATACAATTTTAAAAATGTAGAAAATCCTAAAACAAAACCACTGTTAAAGAATAAATTCTAAGTTGTGACAAAACCCAAGTTCAGCACCAGTTTCTACAGCAGCTAAGAGGCCCTTGTTAAAGTTCCATATCTCTGAGCATCATTCCTTTAATGTAAAATGAGAATGACAACACATAGGTAGTGGCTTGGATTGTGATGAAAGTTAAATAAGGTAATTTGGGAAAGCAGATGGCAGAGTGCTCAGAAAAGTCCATCTTTTGTTGTTCCTTTTAAGACTACTATGAAAATATTCCTAGAGTTTTTATTGACAGATGGCACTTTTTTGACTAGAAGTGGAATTAAGTTAGGAGTTAGGAACATTCAACAACCCGTAATGAAACAAAAATATCAACCTGTAATTCACTTTTGTTAGTTTTACTCTGTGGAGATTTATTGTTTTTTGAAAGCTGTTGTTTTGGCTTTTTGTTTTGCATGAATTATTAGCCTATTGCTATATCTTTACAAGCTTAGATTCTTCAGTTGAAGGACTGAAAATTACAAGTAAATTGATTTGCATCCATGTCAAAGTAAGATTTGTTTAAATTTTAAGCCCTCCAAGAGTTGATCTACTCCTTTAAAAAATGTCCTGCTTTCATTGTAAGCAAGAGTTAATGCAATATTTTTCAAGCATAATTAGCAGCTAATTGAATGATTAAATATGCATTTAAAGTGTCCAAAAATGAAATTATATTATTGTAATAGGAAAGATTCCTCCCAGTAACATTGATTGAGTATTCACAAGTGAATTGATTAGAAGGAAAGAAAAAGGAAGAGGAAACACATTTATAAATACAAAGTGATGTTAAGAGTCTGGCTTTCCAGATCTAATACACCATCTTGGAAAAGTCGTTGGACACATTTCTTAGCAATACTATTCTTTCTAGTAAATGAATCATGGACTCAAAGTATTACTTTGTTATTTATGTCTTCTTGGTCATACAGTCTGAAAATTATGCATGGTAGTGTTATGTATTTATATAGCAAAGAGCGTCATAGATGATACTATAGTAAGGCTTGAGTTTAGCTTGAATAGTTTAATTTCCTGTTTTCTCTCCTATAAGTAGTATGTACACTGAGAATAGAGATATTAAAATATGGGAGATGTCCAAGTATAAACTAGAATACTTCAAGATAAGAATGAGGTCTAGGAGACCCATGGGAGCTGGGAAGTTGGAAAGAGAAGATCATCATGCATATTTGATGGAGCAACAGGACCTCATACAGATAAGAGCCCTGTGTCTGTGACTCAGTTTTGTCACCCGGCACGGCAGCTAATATCGCACTCTGCCATTGCTCAGGGGAAGGGATGCGTGCTGCAGCTGGAAGACCATCCTGCAGGAAATGGCCCCATGTCATGATGCAGGGGCCAATTCCTCCCCCAGATTGGCAGGTGAGGGAGTTTTTGGCAGACTCAAAAGAATTTTTTGTTACTTCACATGAATTTCCAGAAAAATGACAAAGACTTCTGAGAAAAGCTGGAGTCCCCACCATATTACAATTTATGTGATTCTGTTTTACTACAGTGAGTGGTACTTGTTAGAGAAGAACATCCGCTAGGCTTCGTCCACTAAAGGGACTGTGCATTCTGGGATGGTAGGCATTGTCCCAGCTGTCGAGTCTGTCAATGGGAAGACTTGTACTACCCCACTTACAGGATATCAGACTCTGCTCCAAGGATGTGCTGATGAGTATTTGCTCAGTCATTTCTCAGAACAAGCCTGCTACAATTCCCATTTACATATAAGCATACAGAAGCACAAGAGGTTTATGCAACTCATTGGGTCATATGGCTTGTAAGTAGTGAATCTGGGACATGGAGCACAGGGCCTGGTCTGGAGCCTGTTCTTTTACTACCAGGTAACACTTGTAGCTGGCAACAAAAAAGTGTTCACTAAGTGATTTGAATAATTTTTCCCCATGAGATTAAACATACATTAAGCTTATTATTCTGTATTTAATAGACTACTTTTTAAAGCAAACTAAAAATTGTTTACAGGTACACCAAAGTGAAATAAAATCTGAAATGATCAGAACATGTTACAGTGATTTATAAGACTTTCCAACTAACCAAGGAAAATTGCATCATGCTTTCAAGGTTTTCTTACCCCACAAGGAAACTAAATTTCTGGAAAGTTCTATAACCCACAACAAGCCACAGAGCTAACAAGAAAGTTAGACTTCTCTGGACCCTGAGACTCCTAATCACTCCTCTAGCTCTTTCCCCCAGGATTACATAGCTGCCTGTTCTCCAGGAAAGGGATTGTGCTAACCCATGGTGGTTCCTGGGGGTTAATAATTTGAATGACAAGATCTTGAGGGTCATGCTTCGTTTGTTCTCCCTTTCATTTAGTTTATAGACGAAGGCAATTCTCATTGACTATTATGTTTAATTATTCTATGTAGTCTTCCTGAGAATAGACCAACATTAACCATTAAAAAGAAGGAAAGTAGACAGAACACAATGTGCAACCATCCTGACTTCAAATACCAAGAGTCAGCATTCATTCAGGTCTGAGCCAGGCAATTAATTAAACAACACTGGTAAAGCACCACGAAAACAGATCAGGAAATCCTCCCGTCTATTCCTCCAAGTTCACCTACCTTAGTGGAGATAATGAGCGGAAGCGGCAAGAAGCCCAGCAAACTGACAGCTATAAGGAGAAGCCGACGGTAAAGTAAGATGTAACTGAGGAGTTTCATGGTCTCAGGCAGGTGGCCTCGGTGGCGTTCTCCGCAAAATAAGGCAGATGTTAAATAACCAACCTGGATTAATATTTTTCCAGCACATCATCTTCACTCACTGCCCTACACAGACCAACATTAGTTAAAATTAAATCTCATTTTTTATTGCTTTACTATCACAATTAAAATACAGAGATAAGCCCAAGTGTTTATGAGAAATCAAAGACCATTTGCTCATGGGGTTTTTGAAAAGCAAAATTGCTCTTTCCTTTCTGATTTTGTATTCAGTAACTGATGGTAGACAGGAAAGTTCCCTAACTTCCTGTAACTGGAATCATCAGCCAGTTGTGGTGGTGCCTTGCACGTATCTTCACAGGTGGTCAGCAGCGAGTGTCCAGGAAAGTGCATTATCAGTGTCTAAACTGAAACAGCAACGTCTGTAGTAAGGATTTCAGTGTATTGCCACGGGAAAGAGAAAGTATTTTCAGTGCTGATGGATTTTCCTGGATCTTCTCAGATCACATATTAAGGTAGCTTTCTGTAAAACTAAGGGCAAATTTCCCCTGTAGGTTTAAAGCAAAGTTCCATGTATCTCTTAGATCCTATTGCCTATTTTCATAGGAAACCAAAGGTAACCATAAAGACTTATATCAGTGCTCTCCTTTAAGACAGATTTTGCAAGCTTGAATTGCTACTATTGTGCTGATATTGATTATATAATTATCAAGGAATCTGCCCCGAAATGAATCACTAGAGCCTTTCATGTGTGTGGGTGTGGGCACGTGTGAAGACAGGAGCTTTTCCAATAGTGATATGGAGAATATGTTTTGAAATTCCTTGGGCTAGGGATTCTCTGGCTTGTTTCTGGTACTGTCAATTAATTATCCAACAAATTTCAATTAAGCAGCTACTATGAACTCAGCCCTAAATATAAAGAAAACACACTCTCAGTCCTTCTATAATTATAGCAAGTTTCTCTTGACACACATAACCCCATTTTCATGTTATCTACTGCTAGCATTTAGAACTTCTTTCCAATTCTGTACCAATGTGATGGCTTTCCTTTCCTTTCAAGGAAAGAAGTTTTTTGCCAATGCTCACTGTATTAATGTAAATTAGAAATGTTTTTTTCTCAAAAAAATATAAATATCTAGAAAAGTTACATGTAGTATTTCAGGAAAATCAGGCTTGTAATGCGAAAAAAATCTAAAAGACACATTACATCACAATTTTCTCCAGATCAAAGAAAGGGCAAATAGTGCATAAATAACACTAGAAATAAACAGTGAGTAATAATAAATAGAAAGAATAAATAGCGTTTCAAAGTCAATTAAAGGAACTGCTGAAGTTGCTAAAATAATCAAAATACTATTAAAACTGTAATCCATTGCATGTATTTTCCCCCTATTTTTTGCAGAAACGATTTCTATTCTCAGATTTCTCTAAGCCACATGCTGAGATCATTTGAACTTCACCTTATGATCTTAGAGAATTTTTCTTTGTGATATGACACCAAAACTAAAAAGGCATTTGTGTGACATTTAACAAAAAGTTTACATATGTGCAGGGAGCAGCGGCACTTAAACCAGTCTGAGGCTAAAGGAAAAACACCCTATCCTTGTCAGTGCCTCTTTCCATGCCCATTTGCTTCCTTCTGGTGCCCATTTCTCACCTGAGAAGGCCTCCCAGGCCCTAATAGTCCTAATATTGTGGCCTGAGGCTAAGGCAAGGTCAGTATTCCATGGGTGCTCAGAATTATATATGGCTCCTCCTTCTCTACCCACAGCTCTTCTCCTGCTCTCATTGGCTTTTTCTGCCACTGTACAGAAAGAAAAGATCTCACAAAATAATTCACATTAACCATGGATAACTAACACGAGATTAATATGTTTACAAGTCACCACAGAATGAAACCCTCAGGGGCTTTCCGGCATCTCGGGAGCATATCTTGAGGCATCTTTCAAATTGCCTCATGTTAGACAATTTCATGTCATGGACAAATTAGTAACAATTGTCAAGTTTTACCTCTTTATAAAGAAACAAATCTCTTTTAATATATTGTCATTACACTATATTTTATTTAAGTTGGATCATGCTATCTCATGATCATAGATTAGTCCATTTAAAAAGTTTTTACAAACTTTTTAAATGATAAATATTGGTGATTTACTTATTGTTGTACACTATGTATGGGAGTTTATATTCAGCAACTCATTTAATCTTCAAAATCCAATACAAGTTACATATATTTACACTGTTATTATTATTTACATGTTATTATTTTGTACATTTAGGAACTAAAATTCAAAAGACCAAGTAAAATATTCTAGTTACTAAGTGGCATAATAATATAGCAGTAATGTGGATCCAATTCTTCCTGGCTCCTAAGGCAATATTTTTGTCCTATGTTATATGTCTATAATAATGACTTTTCATTTGTCTCTAGACATTACTCATCAAGTCTAAAATTTGTATACACACACCTACTTTGGAAAACCTGGGGATTGTAAACTCTAGGTTTTGCCACTGACCATTATGAATGGACATAAACAATGTGAAAATCAGTTTAAAGCACAAAGGGAGAGAAGGTTTCTGTATCTATATTAAAGAAATAGAATTGTCTAAGATGCTTGACAACCAACTTGAGGGGGGTGGAAAGTAGTTTTTAGGGCACCAACCCATATTCTAGCCCCCCCCATGTCAAATTCACTCCAGGTTTATGTTTTTCTTCAAGCCTTTCCTTTCTCCAAGAATAAGGTCTCCTCTCTCCTTAAATCCCATCCATCCTTGAAGTTTGATCTTACAGAATCATCTCAAATCCACTGCCCTCTTCAAGACGATCCTGGCAATTCCTGATTTTTCCCACGCCCCTGATCCCTGACTTGCCACACACCCACCCAGGGCATTCCTTGGGCCAGCAGCATCAGAGTAGCTGCAAGCCCACTATCCTAGTGGATCAAAATGAGGTTGAAGAATTTTTCTGTTTATTTGGATACTTACATAAATTTTATGTACACTAAAATTTAAGAATTATTGACTTAGTATCAATAATTTGCCTGGAAGTAGAATCACTTACATTTTTTACTTTTCTAATAATGCATGTAAATGTAAAATTCTTAATAAAATTATTGAGATTTTGAGTATAGGGACAATTCATTTACTTCCTTTGCATACCTATGCCCCTAGCAAAGTGCTGGGTACAAATAAACAATTAGTGGATAGTTTCTCTAAACTTACCTATGACTATAAAAAAAGGAAACCAATTAGCCTATTGCTTATGTAGTATGATTTACAAGAAGTGCTCACCCAGTGCTTAGTTTTGTACAGAGATATTTCAATGGCAAACAGAAACATGGAAAAACACACTGGATTTGGAAGCAGATTTATTTAACTTCAGACGGGCACTGACTAGGAATCAGTTGTTCCTCAAAATGTCAGGCCCCAAAGGCTCAGGGAAGGAGGTTTTTATGGGGTCTGCAAGGAGCAGTACAAAGGCAGAGTACTTGGCTGTCTTTGATTGCTTCTGACAATATGCATCCTAGTGACCAGCTGTGTATCACAGTGACCAGCCATTTCTAGGAGACAAAAACAATGGGAACTGCAACAGGAACTATTACCCAGGCAACTGAAGTATACTGGCAGGGGCGGGATCATCTTCTGCTATGATATGACTTTTCAATGGGGAAGGTTAGCTCCATTTCACATATCCTGCATCCATACTTACATAAAGATTGTGTATACTTAGTACATATTTTTACGAGAGAAAAAACAACAAAAGGCAAAACATTTTTACTGTTGATAAAAACAGCCAGGTGTTTTTGTATGTGAAAAAACAATGCATTTGCTTCAGTTATGTATTTCTATTTTCCTTTTTAGAGCATTTAGGGTGCAGAGTGTGTGCTAGGTTTGTGAATTACTTTTGTTGAGACTATTGGTCAAGAAATATGTCAGGGTTTCTTTTGACATTCATTTGTTCTCAAGCCTTTATCAACCCCTAATTCTGCAACTTCGCTAATGGTTAACTCCTATTTCTACATTCTAGATACTTTCATAAATCCCTAAATTTCCAGGCACTGCATGCTGAAAGAGAGTACCATATGTGAACAGAGTCTCCAGCTGTTTTCAGATACCATTAAAACCAGGACGATTCATTTTCTTCTGACTAGCATCCAGTGACCACAGACTTTGGTACTTATTAATGTTTTCAATTTCTTCATGCTCATTGTTGTACTCTTTAAGATGATGAAATTGCATGATGAAACCAAAATGTATCAGTAATGTATAATAAGAAAGTTCCAGGCCCAAATCAATTAACTAGGTCAGTTTTCATTTTTGTGTCCTAAAACAGAAGATAAAGTAATTATTTAGGGTAGGATAATGCTCCCTAAAACTGTAGGTTAAGACATGAGTCCTTAAATAGCCATCATTTATTAACTTCTCCCTCATTAATCATTTCTCCAGGGTCATGAAGTAAATGACTGACTGAATAAAGATTGAACTGTGTCCTGTAAACTGAGAAGTGGAACAAATTCCAAAAGATGAGAACTGAATTCTAGTAAAAATGGCAGCTGTTGGGAAATACAAGCATTGGAATCAAGACATGACTGGTTGATTCCTTCATGAGGGTGGAGAGGAATAGTTTCTCTTGACCAAGTCTTACCACATTTTTATCTTGGATTTTCTGAGAGTTGGAGGAGAGAAATTCTGGGATAGAAGGAGGGAGGTGGAAGAGAAAGGACATTCTAGAACATTAGCATACTCTTAGAATAGAGATAAACAGTATGTTAGTTCACTGGTCTACTGACTTCAGATTAAAACAAATTAAATATATGCATAGTTTATAGAAGGTCATATTTTCTCCCAGGTGTTTCTGGATTTATGACTTGTAGGTGAACACAGGTCATTAGTACTTATCTGAGTAAATAAGTCTATGGCATTAGTTAATAATGCCAAAGGATCATGCCTAATTTTTAAAGAATTAAAGTCATTTATAGAACTAAAGTGACATGAAACAGAAGAGGTCATTCATTGGCAATGTG